GAAAGAAGCACTATCTCTACAGATTTTTAGATTCTTCTCTAGAGTATTGAGTTACTAGAGCTTCTACAAGGAGAAATAGTTTATTGTGACTAAAACTATATTCATCTGTGATTTTGGTTCTCATAAACAGATTTTTCTTTCACTTAAAGTTTTTATGGACTTTGTGCATGTGTATGAATATGTGTGCTTAATCTGAGAGCTAGTGTGGGAGCTGTTGTATGGACTGATGAAGGCCTGGCAAAGTTATCAGCTATGTAAAGTAAGATCTACTAATGGAGATCCCCATCGTAATACACATTCAGCGATCTAGAGGCTAGTTTGATTGGAGTTTCAGAGGAAAGCTATGCATGTAAAGTGACTTTGAGACTGATGTTTACAAATATTAAAATATATTTGATAATTTGCATTTTTGTTTAAAAATAATTTTGGATTTAAAACAATTATGTGTTTTTTAACAAAAATATTCCTGCTTGAAATACCAGTCTTTAGGTGAGTTTGCTAATGATGCTGATATGTGTGAGACGAGTTACATATACATTTTGTGTTTGAAAGAGTGGTACAAAGCACTGGGCTGTAATCAAGTGACTGAGATGTAATCCCAATTGTCATTGATTCCTGTGGTTTTACTGCAAGTCAGCTCAACTCTTGCTGGTTGCACTCCTCACAGAAGTCCCATAGCAGTGCTGTGAGAAAAATTATTACATATTTTTCTTTCTTTGAGGCACACTAATATACATTTACATGTTAGCTTAATATTAAGTTTATCATTAGACTGAAATTGCTTTGCAAATGAAGGATGATGCTATCTCTGTCTCATATTTCTTTAAATATTCCTGGGATACCTTAGGAGTGTGTAACGTACAAATCTTTCATATGGAACAAGACATTTAGCTACTCTGTAAACATCTATTCTCTAAATATTATGAATTATTTTGAGTAAGGAACTTTGTGATTACTTCCTCTGCTCAGATGATGGAGATGATGCTGGCTCTGCGGAGCAGATCGATGGCATGGGTGCAGAGTGGCTGCAGCAGAGCACTGCCATTTAGTTTCAGCTGTGATTGATTCCAAATCTCCTTTTACCTCAGTCCAGATTTTTTGCTCAGCCTCCCTCTCTTTTTTGGTCATTGCTTAGCGATACAGAGCGCAACTTGAATCAAAAAAGCCTTTAAATTGTAATTTTTGCATTGTGACAATGCTTTTTATTTAGAAGATTCAGAGCAGTTGAGGGAAAACTGTTGTTCCATACACACTTACAACATGGAAGTTCAGGTGCGGAGGTGTTACGTAACTTGACAGGTCCCATGGTTTCAAAATCACCCCAACCTAACAGTAGCTGCCAGAAAAAAAGGGGCAGGCTCCCAGTCTCCTTGTTCCAAACCACACATATCCCTTCCCTGTATTGACTGTAGTTGCTGGTGGGACTCGTTGAGCTGGCTGGCCTGAAACTGGTGGATGAGAAGCAGGGGTGGGGAGGGAAGGAAAGGTTTGCTCGTGGGCTTTGGCAGCAGCTGACGGTTGCATGGGGTTAAGCCATTCATTAAACCACAGCTCAGGCTGAGGTGTCCAGTGCCCAGCTCACTGGAGTGCCCCACTCCTTATGGTAACGCATACTTACAGTGCTGCAAGCTACACTGTATAGTCACTGAAAATGCACGTTTGAATTACCTTTTGTAATCTTTCATAATGCAGCAGCTTTCTTGGTGTATTGGGAGTAACCTAATGCACTTAACTGATGCATTTTCTTGAAATCCTGCTCATCAGAAACTGGTTAAACTAGTTTGCCATTGGAATGCTCCCCTGTCCCCTCTCCTGGATCCTGTCCCACTTTCTGTAAATCATCACCTTCCTGAGGCTGCTTAAACTTTTCCTCATATGAACTAGGCTGTGGTTTATGTCTTGAAACTTAAACCCTTGCTTTCTCAATCAGAGAGAAAGCTTTTCGTTCATTTGTGGAAGCTTTTCAAAGCCGTATTAGCCATGTCTTTAAAGTTCCCAAGCCCTTCATTCTGGGAGGAGAGACATGCCACTTGCTAGAGTTTTTTTCATGGTTAAGAAAACCGCACTCCTAGGCTGGGTGGTTTGCTGTTCAGGAGAGAAATGAGTGGTCATGATTTCCTGATCTTTCTCATACTGTGGTGTACACTTATTTACTGTTACTTATTATTTTCAGTCCAGACTGATTAACAGCAGAGCTCAGAATTTACAATTGAAGTTTATCTCGCAGGGTCTCAGCAAACCCAGCTCTATTTAAGATACTATCTACGATCAGTGAGCAGCAATGGTTTTACTGTTGAAACAGTTGCTCTCTGTACCCCTGTATCAAGCACTGAACTTAGTTCCTGTGTGTAACATACCAGTCATTTCAATTCCTGAAAAGTTCCTGACACTGTCTGTATTGAATTTTGATAGTCTACTATTGCACTGGAATACATCTTTGAATTTAAATGGGTGTGATGCTGGATACAAACAAAAATTATAAGATAAAAAGGAGGTTGAATGCAAGTAACTGATCAGCGTTGTTGGTGAACTTGAGATTTTCTATTCAAGGGATTTCTATGGAAGATATTTTTTAGAGGATGTAATTAGTTTTGCATTAAAAAATTTAATTTAAAAAAAAAAAAAAAAGGAAAATACCTTAACACTTTTATCTGAAACTATACTGTAGTTATAAGTAAAAGGAAAATACTTTATGCAGCATAGAAACAAGTCATTCTTGGATATTTTTATAAACAGAAATTCTGATAATTCAGAAGACAAATTGAGGGAAGAATCTGAGCATTGGTGAGGCTGTTATTTTTCAGTTTTCCCCTAGGAACATAGTGGTAGCGTATGGAATATCGGTGCCCAGTTTGCTTCTCACTGGGGACAGGTTGCTTTGGAAATCTTTTTTGGCAAAAGTCACTGTTACAAGATGCTAGCAGTTTCCAGCTCCATTTCTAAATTATTGGTTTTCTTATTATTTTAAATGAAGTAGGGATAAGAAGAACTTGAAGAATTGTTATTGACCTGAAAGTTGATCTGGTGATTTAGATAACACCACGCAGAACTCCCTGAGTAAAAGAGCAATGACCATAAAACAGATCTCAGGGGTCACCAAACTCATGTGGGAGGTCAGTGGAGGAGACAAGGACATGGTCATTTGTTTATGGATGGCCATCCTTCAAGAGAGAAGAAAGTTCTGCAATGAAATCTCCAGTTCTTGCAGTAACAGTTACTTAAAATTTTAATACAAGGAAAGAAGTTGCTGATTGAGAGAATCAGTCTGAAAAGCAAAGAGAAAAGTCTTGTATTTAACTTGTTGAATCAATTTGCAATTGGAAACTCAATATAGAATCAAATTAATCTTTTGTATTTTTAGTAATGTACGGGTTTTCTTTCTCCCCTTCTTTGCACCTCTAAATCTTATCACTTGTGATTCCTGGAGATCCAATAGAGCCCTTGTACCTTTTTTGCAAAACTGCAAGGATTTATTCTTGCTCTCTGGCTCATTTCCCAGGTTTCACCTACAAAGAATCCCTGGCATTTCAAAAAGAGCTGCTCTGTTCCATTTTCTCATCCTTCTGCGGTGTGCCAGTGTTCGGTAGCTGCTTTGCTACCCCTCGGAGATGGGGGCATCAGTCGCATGAAGCACTACAGATGTTGGCTAATGCCCTGAAGAAAACGTACACCTATGGGAAATCCTATCCACGTTAGGCACTGTGTTAGCATAGAGTTCTATTCAGACAATAAAACTTCTAGAGAGCTTTGGGAAGAAAATTCTATATAATAAATATAGCATTTTTCATTTAGATATTATCTTTTTAGTAAATGCTAGTCTGAAAAATTGCACTCGTTTTAGGCATGTAACTTATGAGTGTTTCACAGTTTTAAGAGCATGTAGACTTGATGTAGAAGTGGTAAGTTACCTCTTTATTGGACCGTTAATGTGATCATAAGTTTACTCTTGCCACTTCTCTAAATACCAGCACACTTGGACATTGGAAAGGTTAGTCTGTGGCATAACCACTTTTTTGTAACAGATTTGTATAGTGTTGAATCCCAGATGGAATCAAAGGAGCAAACCGATTTAAGCCTTTAACCAGCGTGCAAGGGTATTTTAATGAAAATTAGTCTGATTCTCCTTTTGAAGCTGTGCATGTGCTGAAAAGGAATGCTACAGATAATGCTTTAGGTAATGCTGGGGACTTTTCTACCATTTCTTATGTCAGATTGCTAACTCTTGAAAACATGTGTTTTATTCTTAATCGATATTATAATCAACTGGTGTCTGTTCTATTATGATTTCTTAACCTTATTAACGTAAGTATCTTCTATTAATATTTATATCTGTGACACTTATAATTAGGTAATTGCTGCCAAATCTATATCAATATAAGCCTACTAACAGCATTTGAGTTACTGTAAACTAAAGAGATGGTCTGTTTTAGGATTTGCACAATTACTTCTTTTTAAAGGGTATAAGGAAATGAGTTGAAATAATGTTTTGAATTATTACAGTTATGGTTATTTTGCCACTTAGTACTAACGACTTCAGCTCCAGCTATTGTTACTGCCCTCCTTTGCTTCCCTTCCTGAGTTCTGTGTTCCTGTCCTTGCTGCTTCTAGAACATTGCCCAGCACCAGGACCCTGTTTTCATTTTCTCCTATGCTCATTTCCCTTTTGGTTTTTTTTTTGAGTCTTTCCTTTTATTCTTTCTCCACTCTCATCATCTTTTATGTCAAATCAAGAGCTTTCTTACTAATGTACCAAGTACTGTGCTTTTCCTGAAAGTGCATACTTTCTGAAAACAATTTAATGATTTCTATTTCAGGAAGAGTCCTTATGTGCTGTTCTGTCTCAGTCCAAACTTACCATGAAGAACCCAGGACAGGAAATACACCACTTTGTTTATATAAGATGAATGCATAGATGGTCTCTGATTTGTTTGAAATGCAAATGACTCTACGCTTTGTCAAGAGAACCCGAGATATTCTTTGTTATTTTATTTCCCTTTTAGATGCACTGTATTTGCCAACATCAGGGACAGCAAAGGAAGAAGCAGTTCAGGAAGAACCTGACTGCCTTGCAAAATATTTCAGTGTTGTGTGGTGTAAGGCATCAAAGAAAAAGCACAAGAAGTGGGAAGGCGATGCTGTTCTTATTACAAAAGGAAAGTCAGTAATACTGAAAGATATGGAAGGCAAAGACATTGGAAGAGGTACTGTAGATTTGCATACTTGTGTAAGTGAACCACTGGCTTAAAATTACTGTGCTTTGAATAACAGAGGCAGAGCTCTCTAGATAACTTAAGAGTTCTCCATAAGAATGTCAACCACAGGATGAAAAACCAGTAGGTTTTCAGGGGGAAAAGGAGGCAGAAAGCAAGCTTTATATTTCTTACATATAAGGCAGATGCATGGGGGAGGCTGGGGCAGGCTGAATGACATTATCCACAGAAACACCAAATGCTAGCCCAAGGAAAGGATCTGGAAATGAACGGCTGTACTAATTCAGCAGAGATGCCAAATGAGGAATGAGTAGTTGATTTCAGTTGCTCACATAATGCATTGGAGATAAGTTTCAGATATTCCAGTCAGTAGTATGGCAACTGGGAATGTCAGAGGTTGGATCTGTACATTTCAGCCAGTCAAACAGCTAAAAATATTGTCTTTGTCAGAAAGACAAGCAAACAGCAACATTTTCCAGCCCAGCCAAAGTCAACTGTGTAGCAATTTTTAGTCTTGTAGTTTTAGCAGCAGCTGCTGCTGTAAGACACAGTTTGGGTTGATATCAGAGTTAAAAATAAGACTTGCAAACTATAGGCTGCAGTCAACTTGAAGCAGTAATTTTTTACTGAAAGCAAAGCAAGAATTAGATGTGCTAACTGAGCCAAAGATATTTTGTAAGGGAGTAGGATTGGACAGAGTTGCTACGAAACATAATTTGATCAATTTTAGGGCTGAGGTGGCTTCTCTGGACATTGTGAGCCTTGTTAGGATGAGGCAGTTTTGATTTGCAAATCAGCCTGTGACTTAGGAGTTAATTTGAATTTATTTATAGCAAAGCAATATATGTACAGACTTGCTTGTTTTTGAAAAAGGCAGAGAGAAAGAGTGTAATGCCTGGAATGTATCAGCCACCACCCTGTTGTTCTTGTGTTTTTTTCAAGTCCTGTTTTCCTGAATTAGCAGAAAACACAATAGAAAAATTAATATTCTGATTTTTACTAGAAAAAGTCTTTTTGCCGTGTTTGATGGTGTCATGGAGCACAACAATACCAATGTCACTGGTGCTAACTTTTCCATTCAGAGTTGTTTTCAATGCTCATTGATTCTAAGAAGGTCACAAATTGACCAATTTAAGCAGTGTAAGTTTTAAATTTCTACAATTATTCTACAAGCCCACTGAGTGAGAAGGAAAGGTCCAGTAGTGGTGCTTACCTCTAAAATTGTATTTAATACTGGGAAGTTTACACTGAACATGAATGAGCATCCAGGATTATTATTTTTAAATGGGAAGAAAATGGCAAAGGAAGATTTTATTTATTTTTTTTTTTTTTTTCCTTAGGAATACCAGGGCTGGATCTAAGAAGGGGCATGGGAACCTAAAACCAGCACAGGCTAGAGCCTGTTTTCAGGGCAGCAGAACATCTTGCTTTTCTCCCCTGCAAATGTCCCAATTCCTTAATAATGTATTACAAAGAATTTAGGAAGTGCTCTCTAATAATTTGCTGTATGCTATAGAAACAGTTATTTCTGGCAGCTGCATAAACATTTGAGCTTTGTAGGTTTGCTTTTTGCCTTTCCTAAGTTCCCATCTACTCTTAAAGCCTACCCATCCTGTCTTAGAATTTGGCTTTTCAGACCAGAATCCAAAGGATCCCGCACAGGAATGCACCTGTATTCAGTATGTTCAGCCTGAAGCTATGTAGAGGTAGTAACAGAAAACAAAAATGCAGAGCAAAGGAGAGGTCATGAATGCTCCCTCCAGGCATTTGGGAGGGCACACGCATTCTCCCGTGTTCAGACTTCTACAGCTCTTTCCTGAAAGCAAGCATCCTTACTTGAAGAACCAAATAAGGTTCACTGTGTGCTTTCTGAATGCAGTTAGAGGAGGGAGAGAGAAACACCTCCCTTTCCCTTTTGACCAGATTATTTTTCACCACCTGCTTAGACTGTGAAACACCTCGATAAACTTTTTCTCTTCAAGGAATTCAAATCCAGATCTTAACCTTCCACATTCCTAGAAATGGGAGACCTGAGCTTTTCAAACAACTCCCAGCAGTCTTTTTATGTAGTGTTTGTTGGATAAAATATGTGTAAACTTTCGGGAGGCTTTGCCTCTTTCACAGGTCAGTGCTTTAACTGCTGGTCTACACAGTCATGCTTTTTATTTTTTTGTCCTAACTAAGGATCCAAGCCTGTTTATGCAAAGTGGCACAAATTCAACAACTGGGGTAAAGACTGTGCCTGATTCTAATTCTGAGGTGGAGATGTATCTTTGACCTCCCGTATGTCTCCTGTTTCTTATGTGAGAGTTTCAACCACTAGAATTCTATTTAAAAGAAGGAACCACCACTCTTTCCTACATTATTATCTTAAAAGAAAGTGGCAGCTGTAGCTGTATTTTGCAATGAGACTAATAGTATGTGGTAGCTGCTCTGAGAATGAATGCCTGCCTGATGGAGTCCCTAAGGGGACATAGAAAAATGCATTACATTCCCAGTAGGTTTTTCGGTGAACAAACTAATTGAGCTGACTGATAAATACTGGCAATAATGAGAGTATGTATGTTTCGGAGCATGTGTAGAAGTAAAGATTTCAGATGCATATGAATCCTTAATTGTAAAAAGCTAATTTAGAGTGATTTTAAAAGTAGAATATTCTGTTTAGATGAATAGCAAGAGGGGCTAGTGGTGTTCTTGTTGGGGCATGAAAGGAAGGAAAAAGGACCTAGAATGGTAATTAGTTTTGAGCAAGTTTAAGGTAAACTGCTAGATGTTATCATATGGGTCCGGTTTTTGTAAATTCCCTTAAATGGGTATTTGACATTCAGTAGAATTAATTGCGGATGGGTATGGTTGAATATTTGCTCACACATTCTGCTATCTAATTCTGATTCAAAAATCAATCAAATGTCAATCTCTGCTAAGGAGACAAAGACTTCATGAGTTCATATGTGTAACAATTAAAATGCTTAAGAATGAAATACCTCTTCACAGTTTTGCTTTTCGTTCCTGCAGATGAGTACTGGTGTTAAGGAAGTAGTATTTGCTATGTTGTCCTAACTGATAAATTTTTTATAATCTTTTAGGTACTGGATATAAATCTAAAGAGCTAGACAGTCTTGATGAAGGTCAAACACTGATGATTGGAGGAAAAGAAATTGAAGTGATGGGTGTAATTTCAGCAGATGACTTCAGCAGTGGCAGGTGCTTTCAGGCTGGAATAGGGACTCATGACACAGTCCCAACTGCTTTATCTCAAACTAATATGAAACCATTCTGTAAACCATTCAAAAGTGTCTGCCAACCCAGTTCTAAAGAGAATGTGCTCAAAGATTCTCAAAGCTACAAACCTCGCCACGATCCAAATGCTTCAAGTAAGATTCAGATTTTTAAGTTTCTTTGAGCATCCCCTGGCTCTTGAAAAGACATTGAATGTGTAACCAAAGTTTTCATGTCCTCCAATGCATTACTGAGGTATTTCTGACATACAGTATTAGTGTTTCTGTCAATACCACGTTAGGATTTTATCGTGTATATTTCTAACGTGAAATACTCCGCACTGCATAAAGTTTCTCACAGTTGTTACAGATGGCTGTAGAAACAGGTTAGAGTGGTTTCTGAGAGTTTTGCCAAGAAAAATTATTTTTTTGATGCTAGAAGTTCTAGATGAGTTCCAGCTTCCTGCTGGGGTCAGTGAAGCACTGACATAATATGGCAGCACAGCAATTACAGTGGAGGATCAGTAATAGATGAGTTAAGCCAGGTTCAAAAGAATTGCTCTGAGAATGCCTGATCCTTCACAGCCAGTGAGTGTAACTGCACGACCCAAACTCGACCAGATACATCTTGGAATAAAAGTTTTGTCTTAGTGCTGGAAGTACCGTGTGGTGAAGAGCCATGGGAGTTCATAAATGGCATAGAAACAGACTGGTTAAGCAGTCATATAAGAAGGATCCTGTAAACATTTCTTAGCTGCAGGAAGTGGCATTGCTTATCTAAACGAGAGGTACTGTTTTGTCTGTCAATAACAAACCATTTAGGAGCTATATTCTGCTGATGGCTTTATCTTTCAGATAGAAGATAAAAATAAGGTTAAAGAAATGTTACTAAACAGAGCAATGCATACTTAAAAAGTTCTAACTAACTATATTTATACCTCCATCCTACTTCTTACTTCATATATGGATACTATTTCCAATACTTTGAAGCTGCTACCTGCCTGCTATGTAAATAAACAATTAAATCTTAATCAAGTGGTAATTAGTGATATCATTGGCCCTTTTACAGAGCAGCCTTATTAACACTAGCTTCTGGTCTGAATTCAACTTGATTATGTTGTATCTAGGAACATTCTGTCCTGTGGTTGCAAGATGATGCTGCATTAGCTTTCTAACCCAAAATCTGGCAAAGAGCTGATACATTCAACACTCAGATTAATTTATTTGCTGTTTGTGCACTCGTCTGTTAAAAAGCTATGTTTTATTCTAATTGTCTCCTGTGACTTCTGGGGAATTTGAGTACCTCCTATGAGATTTTGAGAGCTCTCAACACATTAATAGGTTGGACTCTCAGTCATTAGAGTTGCTTACACAGGAGAATCACATAGTTAATTTAACGCCTTATTGCGAAACTTCTTTCAGAAGTAACAAAGATACAAGACCAGGACCTTCTTATTGGAACAATGAGAAGTTTTCACATTGAGGTCTATGACTATAGTTGATTAAAATGCAGCTTCTTCAAAATGGAAAGCCTTTTATCCTTGTGCTTAGCAGAAGAGAGCACAGTGACAAAGATATAAAGCCATGTATTTCATATATGATTTCTAAGTTTTTAGTCCAATGCTCATCCAGGCCTTGTTTCTTCCCCATCTCTGAGGCTGCAAAATTGTGTCAGAAAAGTTACCTTTTGTCACCACTGGCTCTTACCAAATTCCATGTGCACATGTATGTAATCTACCAGAACTCAGCCCTTTGTCAGGAGGAAACAAAATCTCCCTGAATGATACAAACCTTCAACCAACCTATTTCCAATAATAAATTATCCTTATAGATCTACTTTAGTGACATAAAAATACAAACAGCTCTGAATTGCTTTCTCATTCTGTCCTCTGACAATACAACTTTTCAGTGAAGGTGTGTAGCATCAATATAAGCAACCCAGTATGGACCTCGTCTAGCAAAATTATGTTATTAGAGTTTGTAAACAAATTGTGGCAAGCAAAACTGTTATTCAGGTGTAGCCCAGTACTTCATGCTCTCTTTGCCTCTGTGTGTCTTCAAACCTTGTCAACTTGTTTTATTCATGCACTGTGACAGCCTTTGTCAGCTTGCTCTCGGTCCTTCCCTATTTTTTTTTAACAAATTGTCGTCTTTTTATCTTCGTTTCTCAGGCAGAGGAGTCTTTCTGGGAAAGCTACAGGAATATCCCCTTGAAATGTAGTGTCTAATCTTTATGTAGGTCATTGTTTATGTTCTTTTTCTTAAACTTTCCATTCAGAGGCCTTTTAGAAATACTTCTGATTTAACTCTATGCATTCAAAATCATCATGCAACATTTATTAGGTAGGCAGTTTCACCTCATAATAAAAAAAAACACTCAGATTTCTCAGTTTGTTAACTTTACCTCTGAGAAAAGTGCAAACTATTTGGGAACCCCCTGTAAAAGTATTTTTTATTTAGAAGGCTCTCTAAATACTCTGTAAATTCATTTTCTGTCTGAGAATGATCAATATATTAAACAGTATTTTTAACAGTCATTAGATCGTTGACTTTATTCTGTAGCTGAGTTAGAGAAATAATACCCTTTGCTAACAGACTGAAAATAATGTTTTTGTGCAATACTTGTGTATGTTTTGAACTTAAAGATTCTCTAGTTATGCCAAGACCAAATGCAAGTCATCAGAGGATGTTCAATAAGGCTGGTTTACCTATGGTGGATGTAGTTGTGGATCCTTACATTGCAAATAATCTCCGACCACATCAGAAAGAAGGAATTGTATTTCTATATGAATGTGTAATGGGAATGAGGTAAGATGGTAGTTATCCTTTTGGCTTTCAATATCTGAAATATTTCAATATTTTCATGCTCATGTTTGAAATTAGACAATTTGAATGGGAACATTTGAGTAATTGTTCAATTAATTAATATTAATAGTTTCCCCCCCGTAGAGGTTGCACAAGTTTTTTTCTGACCTGTATGTAGCATCGTGTTTGCGATGGCTTTGCCAGATGTGATGAGAAGCTAGTGTACCAAAAGGCCTGTCAGTTCTACTGCAAATATCAAGTCTTTTAAAGACAGTCTAACCCATGCTAAAGAACAATGCTTTCTGGGTTTTATAATTCATGTAATTTATAATTATTCATATAGTTTATAATTCGGGCATTTAGAATAAAGACGCTGTTAAACTAATCTGTTGAAAAAAAATACAGTACTATTTTCAAAAGTGGTTTCTAAAGTCATAGATCAAGTCATAGATTTCTTAAGGTATATACAGGTTTTAAAAATATTAGATAATAGTTTTAATTCTAAAAGCAAATTTAAACTATTTGGTTTTGGAGGACTAATGCATTAATCTAGAAAATTAGGAATTTCACTCTAAAGTTGTCTGGTATAACTGAATGAGAACCTACAATAGAGCATAATAAATATAAGTAAATTCTTTATCCTTCAGAAAACAACCACAAGGAGCAATTCCCTAAACCAGTTGTAAATAATTATAGATATGTCTTTTAAAATATTACCACTGCCTAATTACATCTTACAGAGTCAGTGGCAGATTTGGAGCTATTCTTGCTGATGAAATGGGCTTAGGGAAAACACTGCAGTGCATTGCACTTGTCTGGACTCTTCTGCGTCAAGGGGTCTACGGATGCAAACCTGTACTAAAGCGAGCACTGATTGTCACCCCTGGGAGTCTGGTAAAAAACTGGAAAAAAGAATTTCAGAAATGGTTGGGAAGTGAAAGGATCAAAGTCTTTACAGTTGATCAGGTAATATTTATTTCCGAAAGGGGATTACATTGGATTTGGCTTGGAATATAGGACTTGTGATCTTTTTTCCCCTCTTTTTTTTTTTTTTTTTTTTTTTTTTTATTTTTAATTGGAGACCAAAACTAGTAATTCTCTATTGATATTTATTTGTAGTACTTTATTTTTCCTTCAGGTAATTGTGCATATGGGCATTTAGCTGCCAGTAACTAGGTCATAACTCAAGCTCACCTGCCAGTGTAGCATATGTCTGTCTTATCTTTCCTCAGGCTTCACCTTTGAAGATGTAAAAGTTGACATGCTCTTCCTTGTGCCTCCTTGGTTTAAGGAGCTTTCTGTTGTCTATCAAAGTGCACATCCTCCCTGCTTTATGTACCAGAGCATCTACCTTGACTGACTTATACTGTGTTTCTGTGGTAGTTGCTTTTGTTCTGTACTGAAAACTTTTTCCTCTTTGTTTCAGCTGTCTGTTTCAGGTTACTTCAGAAGGTTATTCCTTTACTGTCACTGTCAAGAATTAGGTTTCTGTAGGGATGATTTAAAGTCTCATGAGTTACCAAGCCTTGAGTCTCAGTGTTAGATAATGTGAATATCTCTCATCTCTATAAGAAAGCAGACAAGTACAAGTCTTAATAAAGAAGTGGGATGATGCTGATCCCTGTCCTCTCCTATACTTGAGTGGTTCCTGAACTGCTGGTGATGACAATCCCAAGTTCCTGTAGTGCCTGGATGAATCCCATGTGCTGACAAAGTTAATCTTTTAATCTTCTTGATAAACCTTTCGGGTCCCGTCTTTGTTTCTGAAACACAAACTCTCTCTGTCCTTTACTGCAAAGAATAAAAGTTCTAGCACAGACTCTGTGCTTCAGTGACCTTTATTGACTGCATCAGGCAGGAAGACACTTGGCCAAGTAAAAGACAAGGGAGTTCAAGGAGTGAGGGTGTAGCATCACTGACTGAAGGTCTTCTCTGGAGGAGAGCCACATCTTGCTCTGGTTATCCAGCAAGGCTTTCTTGCCATGTAAATTTTTCCCATTAAGCATGGCTCAGTATTTCTGTCAGAGGGTTGGGTCCCCTCAGGACTGGCACTCATGAAGCTGTGAACAGGAGACTTGCCCATTCCTTTGTTAACACTTCTGAAACTTTCAGGTTCAAGCTCTGTTTTTATAATTTACCATCCAGTATTTCTTTTCCTATGACTTCTGGTCCCCATGTGCACATGGAGTGGGCATTCCTAGCAAAAAGGAAATACAAGTTGTTTAGCAAACTGTGGTTTCTATATATACATTCAGCAATCTGCTATACCCCTACTTTTTCCTTGCTCCTATATATTTGAATTGTGCCAGTGGGAGGAAGTGGAGAACTTACAGTAGTGCCTTAGTGCTCGCAACAGAGATATTTGTTTTCCAGTTATTTTTTAATCGCTCCATACAAGTAGATTGAAGAAACAAATAGTACTTCATTTTGAAGATGACCTGGTTCTTATATCAGCCAGATTTGCTTTTAGTTTCTTGCATTATCCTTGTTGTCTGTATGGAAGAGTGCATATTTCAGATGAAATGGAAGTTCCCAAACTGTTTTTAAACTCTTTTGTAGAGCATCCAAAATTTTGTAACAATAATTATTTATTGAATTCCACTCATTATTGTCAAAATCTTGAAAGTGTTGAACTTCCTCATATTCCACTGAGGACAATCTACACATAATAGGTGCTCTTTGCATCATTTGCTTTTCTTAGTAACTTGTTTCATGATGAGAGAAAACTGACTTGTCAGGAACTGTAATGTTATATAGTTTAGGATGAGAAAAGCCGAAGTTTCTAAAAGAAGTGGAGACAAGGAAAAATATAATACAGCAACATTTTTACCTGAAAAGGTAGTTAGAAATAATTGAACATTTTCTTGCTCTTTTTATCAGTAGTGTTGGGAGGAGAAAACCTGAATTTGCTGGCAATTACTATGACCCAAAATGACAGGATCTTTCATTTTATTTTAATTTAAATAACTTCAATATTCTTACTCATCTTGTTGGGGCTATTTGGATTGAAGACACTCAGCAGCTTTTAAGATTGTGTTCCCAAAGAGCAAGGAATACATTGTCATGCAAAAGGAAGACACAGTATTACTTGCCTGGGATATAATGAGGTATTTCAAAATAATTTACTGTCTGTCTTTTCCAGAAAAACAGCAATTACCATACTGTTATTTTTCCAGTATAACTTAAGAGGAAGATCTTGTCTCAAAGGTTTTTTCTATTCTTGCCTGTAAGGAATACATTCAAAGAAGTGACAGACTTTTTAAAATGTGTTAGGTGTGTTTTCCTCACTTTCACACTGAAACACCATGGACTCATCCTAATCTTTCAGCAATAGATTCTTCAAAAAACCAAGACATTACCTGCTTTTAAAATGTGATTACAGTTTACTTCTCTTAAAATGCAAATGTCATGTAGAAGACATTGCTTTTAAAGTTTGGGCGTCCCCACAAAGGTTTCATTTAGGTCTTGTTAATACATGTTATCAGCATTTGAGATGTGCTTGAGAAAATAACTTCTTTATGTGTTTGCAGAGTATCACTTCTACTGGGGTTGTTTTGGTTTGGTTTTTAAGTAAAAATATCTAGAGAATTAATTAAAGGTTTACATTGCTTCATGATTCAGCATTTTTAAATTTACACTTCACCAGCTACATTGGATTTGGACTAGTGCAAAGAAAGGTCTGTTCAAAAAGTAAGTCTGAGACATTATGGAGATTTAATACTGATTGATAATTGCTCCATATGTAGCTCCAGGCAACTCACTTAAACCTGTCAAGTCACTTTGTGTAATTGTGAAAATGGAGGCTATAATACATGCATATTTTGCAGCCAGTTAAGAGGATAAATTAATTACTTGAAATTAGCTTGTCAATTTATTTTAGTTTTTAGTCCATCATCCACTGCTGTTGATATATACAACAGGGAATATATTATATTTGGCTGCAGGATTCTCCTGCTTTTTTTTTAAGGGGTTCAAACAGTCCAGGGGGGTTGATGATTTACCAGGGGAGGGATGTTGGAGGCAGTTCCCCAGTGCCTCAGCACTTTTTCCATAGTGTCAGCTCACAGGCCATAAGTGTAGGAAAACAAAATGATTTTTGAACCCTGGGCATCTTCTGATGCTTGACCATCCCAAGAGAAAGTCAGAGAGGCATTCCCTCTGTCTTCAGAACTGCAAAGTGGAGCCTGAATACTGGGCAGGGACAAGACTGGGTGTTACTTATAAGGCTACTCTGTGTCTCTGTTCCTGTGTTGGGAGATTTTCTGCTCCTATTTTGAAAATGGCAGTAAAAATATGGCCAGAAAACAGTCTGTTAACTGAAGTCCTGGAAACAACAGGAATGCTCAGGTCCAGTCCAAACACCTGGGGAAATCTGTGCATGCCCTTGTTACCTGCTCTTCACTACTCCTTGCTTCCTCCCACATGTGCTGGGCCTCTTTGTGAGCAGCATGTGGGGACTGATGTACCACAAGGTACTCTGTGAGATTAATGTGCCAGATTCAGCCTGTAGATTTGTCTGAATCATCTGCTAGGAGGTTCTAAAGGTTGTGATAATTAACTGGTACTGCTTTTACAGTGTATTACACCATCTGGCTCCAGACTTTGTTGTCTGTGTTCAGAAACTGATCTTGTTTGGAAATAAAAATACATTCTGAGGCTCTAGCTGGATTTGCTTTCACAATTAAAGAGGTCCTTCAGCTTTTCAGCTGCCCCTATAGCCTGCTTAGTTAGTGAACACTGATAGGAAATAGGAAGGAGCATACAGGGAATTAGTGTCTGGAGACAAGCAGAAAGGTGAGCAATGTGCCTACAGCAGATTTTTCCATTTTTACACATAATTACAAGACAGGAGCAATCCTAGTACACTCACTAGTCTGCACAGAAATGTAACTATTTTGAGGACTAGGAAGAAGCTCCCTGTCACATTACAGTAACTTTTTGTTTAGTGTGTCTATTGAAGGAGAAGGGTGTGAGGGATATATGAGCAGAGGGGCTCACAGACATTTTCTGACCAGTATTACAGGGTTTAGAAATCAATTGCTTTTATTTACCAGTAGACAAGCATGTTTTCTGGGGCTGGTTATGGGCTCCATTTTCTGCATCCCAGGCTGCCTTAACCTGTTGGCCAACCCATCAGTATTAAGACCTTGTAACAAAGTTATCATAGAATCATCATAGAATACCAGGTTGGAAGGGACCTCAAGGATCATCTCGTCAAACCCTTCTTGGCAAAAGCACGATCTAGACAAGGTGACCCAGCACCCTGACCAGCTGAATCTTAAAAGTGTCTAATGTTGGGGAATCCACCACTTCCATGGGGAGGTTATTCCAGTGGCTGATTGTTCTCGTTGTGAAAAATTGGTGTCTTGTGTCCAGTTGGAATCTCCCCAGGAGTAACTTGTACCCTTGTCTTCTCTATGTGACTCCTTGTAAAAAGAGAGTCTCCATCTTCTTTGTAGCCACCCTTTAAATGCTGGAACATGGTGATAAGGTCTCCCCTAAGCCTTCATTTATCAGGGTTGAACAAACCCAGTGCTCAGCTTTTCCTCATACAGCAGGCTTCCCAGTCCTTTGATCATCTTTGTGGCCCTTCTCTGGACCTTCTCCAGCCTGTCCACATCTTTTTTATACGGTGAGGACCAAAGCTGAACACAATATTCCAGGTGTGGCCTGACAAGCAGCGAGTAGAGTGAGGTAATGACTTCTTTGTCTCTGCTGGTGATGCCCTTGTTGATACAACCCAGCATCCTGCTGGCTTTCCCTGCCGCTGCAGCACACTGCTCACTCATATTGAGCTTGTTGTCCATCAGGATCCCCAGGTCCCTTTCCACAGAGCTGCTCCCCAGCCAGGTAGATCCCAGCCCGAGCTGCACTCCTGGATTATGTTTCCTGAGGTGCAAGCCCTTACATTTGACCTTGTTGAACTTCATAAGGTTCTTGTTAGCCCACTCTTCCAGCCTATCCAGGTCTCCCTGCAGGGTGGCTCTCTGTTCCAAAGTGTCCACTTCCCCACTCAGTTTGGTATCATCAGCAGACTTCACCAGGGTACACTTGATCCCATCATCCAGGTCACTTATGAAGATATTAGACAGCGTTGGGCCCAATATCGATCCCAGGGGGACCCCACTTGTGACAGGTTGCCAGTTTGAAGAGGAGCTATTTACCAGCACCCTCTGGGTGCAGCCTGTCAGCCAGTTCCCCACCCACCGCACAGACCACTTGTCTAGACCTTAAGGCGTCGGTTTCTCCAGGAGGAGGCTGTGGGGAACCATATCAAAAGCCTTGGAGAAAGCCACGTAGACAGTGTCAACCGCTTGCCCTTCATTAATCGAGAAGGTTACTTTGTCATAGCAGGTGATCAGGTTTGTCAAGCAGAGTTTGGTGAATCCATGCTGTTTTTTCTCAAGCACGTGCTTCATTTGATTGTGACAGCCCCCTGGAGGATTTGTTCCATAACTTTCCCAGGGACTGAAGCAAGACTGATGGTCCTATAATTTACTGGATCCTTCTTTAAGCCCTTCTTGTAGATGGGGATGACATTAGCCTTCTTCCAGTCTTCTGGGACATCGCCCAGTCTCTAAGACTTCTCAAAGATTACGGGGAGCAGCCTCACAACAGCATCAGCCAGCTCTCAACGCCCTTGGGTGGTTAACGTCAGGGCCCATCGATTTGTAGGAGTCAAGCTCCTGTAACCATTCACACACCAACTCTTCCTTCTCTGACAGTGAGTCTGTGTTTGCATCAGCCTGGATTTTTGTTCCCAGGGCCTGGGGCCCAACAGCTCTGGTAAGGGCAGAGGTGAAGGTGTTGAGAACCTCTGCCCTTCCAGTACTGTTGGTGACTAATTCACCTCTCCTGTTTAACAGCAGGCCAATATTTTCCTTCTGTTTCTGCTTGTTGTTTATGTACCTGCAGAACCATTTCTTGTAGCTTTCGGTATCTCTGTCCAATTTAAATTCAAGCTGAACTTTTGCTTTTCTAACTGCATCTCTGCATACTCTGGCAATGCCCTTGTAGTTCTCAACAGGTATTCATCTGCTTTTCCACCTCTGGTACACTTCTCTTTTGGTTTTGAGTAGATTTAGAAGCTCGCAGTTAAGCCAAGGGGGGTCTCTTGCTCACCTTCTTTCCTTACCTTTAAACAGGATGAACTATTTTTGTGTTTCCAGGAGACTGTTCTTGAAAAACTCCCTGCACTTGCTAGCTCCTTTATCCTCCATGGAAGCTTCCCATGGAATCCCTGCCAACTGAATTCTGAGCGAGCTGAAGTTTGCTTTTCTAAAACTTAAAACCTATTCAATAGGATCAATAATAGTAATATAATAGCATATTCAGTTCAAAACCACAAGGGGAATTTTGATACAATGTGGTAACTTCCTACTGGACCACATTACTGCACCTTGCAGCTTAAGATCCCAAAGTGAATGTACAGGCAGCTACTTATGCCCCTTCGTTATCTTGGCTTTAATTATTAATTTGAAGCTTGCTTGAATGCCAGGACTGGGAAACTGCTACAGGGAGCTTCCGTGTGCTTTTTAACTTCACGGTAATGTGTCTCAGAGGATTTAAAGGCCTAAAAGAATAATGAATTTTCTTTTAATCAGGTGGTAAAACTCTAAATTCCTGTATCAGATCCCATATTTCCTTTGCAAATTAGGAAAGAATCAATGATCCAAACTCATGAAGGAGATAGGGTATGTTTTGTGTCATGCTAGAAAAAATTTCTGTAGACATTGGATGTTTAAGGAATATGGTGAGTGATCGCCAGAGAAACAGTATGATTTATTTTTCGTTATGCTTGTAGGACCACAAAGTAGAAGAATTCATCGTTTCTCCACTTTATCCAGTTATGATAATCAGTTATGAGATGCTACTGCGATGTTTGGATCAAATTCAGGCTATAGAATTTAACCTCCTAATCTGTGATGAAGGACATCGTCTGAAAAATAGCTCTATCAAGACAACTACAGCCCTCACTAGTCTGTCTTGTGAGAGGAGAATTATCCTTACTGGTTAGTGTCTATAGCTACTTTTAATATTTTGCTATGTTAATAGTGCTGGGTTGGGGTAAAGGAAAAAGATATTTTAAGTATGTCAGGATCACAGTATAAATTTTCGCAATGGGTATTAAATACACAAATCTTGGGTCTAGTGAAAACAGATTATTTCAGATTTTTTTAAATAAACTCAAAATTTGTCTATCTCCAGGGGCAGGCGAGGAGCCTAGCAACTTCTGTAAGGGAATCAGTGCTCTGTTGGCATACACTCATTGTTTTCCTTTGTAGTTATTTACTAGAATTGATTTAGAACTTGACTTTTTAAATTCATTTGTCAAAACAATTAGATGTGCAGTCTGTTTAGTTAGGAGGGCAGTAACTTATTAGTCACAATAAAGTTTTTGATTCATTCAGAATCTCTCAATAATTCACACTGAAACAGAACATCTGTTTTCAAGATGCATTCTCAGCATTAAACCCTGCATTCAACAATTGTACTTCTATCAGTTTGCAGAAAGAGTTACCACGTGCGGAACTTTCTTTTTTTCACTCTTTCCAGGTACCCCAATCCAAAATGACTTGCAAGAATTTTATGCATTAATAGAGTTTGTGAATCCAGGAATTCTTGGTTCTTTATCCACATATAGAAAGATATATGAGGAACCGATTGTCAGATCTAGAGAACCTCCAGCAACAAAGGTATGTTATTTAAAAAAATGCAGTTATAGAAGAAAATTCACAGACATCACTGTGAAATTTGCCTTCTATGGAATAAAATGAAGCTCAGGACTACTAGTAGTAGCAAAAACATTTCATCTTCCTATGTAAAATATATTCACTTGTTCTCCAAAGGGAACAGGAAGAATACATGCATGTTGAGATCATGTCATTTTAGTTGCCTGTTAATTAAAAGGCAAAAATTGTTCTTCCAACACCTCACATTCCGAAAAACGCCATTTGCATTACCATGTGATGATACTTTATTCCTTCTTAGTTTCTCCACGGTACTGCAAAATCTCGATGATTTTATTGCATTTCAGTAAATTCTAGAATGTAATTCAAGCCTTGGGTGTCTTCTGGGACATTATCTTCCTTTGTTTAAGACTTTAGAAAGCAGACCTAGAACTAAGCTAATGCAGTGGTACTAACTGGAGAATTGGTCACTACAGTCCCATGTTAGAAAGTGATATCATACTTTAAAAACATTATTTAAATGCCTAACTAAAATCATACAGAAAATTATTGTGATGAAATGCAAGATTATAATTGATTTTGCGCTTTGTTTTTTAGGAGGAAAAGGAATTAGGAGAGAAAAGGGCAGCAGAACTCACACGCCTCACTGGACTCTTTATTCTGAGGAGAACACAGGAGATTATAAACAAATTTTTGCCCCCCAAAACGGAGAGCATAATCTTCTGCCGACCAGCAACACTGCAACTTGAATTGTATCGAAAACTGCTTAGTTCTCAAGTTATTAGGTCCTGTCTACAAGGCAGGCTAGAAAACAGTCCTCACCTAATATGTATAGGAGCTTTGAAAAAACTTTGCAATCATCCGTGCCTTCTGCTTAAAGCTATAAAGGTATTTGCGTGGGGATTGGTGCCTGCAGTTAGTCATTTCAGCAGGCAAAGGTCACTAAAAATTTGTTGTAGGCAATGTCCATGTTACCTTAAGGTAATTTCCATACTCTCTTCTCACATACAACTTGCTTTAGGAGATCTGCTTTCAGAAACATATATGTTAGAATATCTGAATGTACTCGGGGAAGGTATCTCACCAGTTTCCTATTGCCTTATGGTATTTTCTTGTTCTTCATGTATTTTCCCTTTCTAATTTTATGTCTGAATATTTGTTAAAATACATTGAAATGTGAATTTTACAAAGAACACTGCTAACTAGAGATTATTCTGTGTGCTCAGTCTGATGGTTCCTCTGAAACCTCCCTGTCTATATGATAATTTCACTTATCAAGCTCAGTGATACCGGGAGCTGCAGGCTCAAGATGTCAGTGATACTAGATGTCTCCATTTCCACTCCTCCTGGGATCTTATCACACTGTACACCTTGTTATTTCTATAGAAATGTTCTCATTCCTATAGGTAAATAATGTGATAGTTAGAACTTGGTAATACGAACTTCTGTGGCCACTAGTCAAAGTCCAGGTAAGGTGGGTAGAAACGTAAGTCTTTCTTAAAAGACATACTTCATGATTTTGTAGGAATACCCACAGCGCAAACATCCCTGTAGCTTTCAACACTGCCAATTTCATTGCATTGACTTCATAGTATAAGCATTAGAAATTTTTTATATGTGAAAGCATAAGCATTTAGAAACTATAGGGATGAGAAGGACTATATGTGCAAGTCATTTATTGCCACTGTGGTTTTGGCATTTGAGTAATTTGGCTTTTTCCTCCCTGTGAAACATTGATTTTCAAATTACAGCAAAATATCACCTGTATTTCTTCTATTTTATTGTTCTTATTTGCTAGCTTTTCTTAATTTCCAGTTGCATAACTGAATCTTAATGACAACATCTTCCTAAAAAAATGTCAATGACTGGGAAGTTAAATAATAAGGTATTGGATTTAGAAAGAATAATCAGAGTATTGATTTCCACCACCCTCCCATGTTTTAAATATGGCTTTACTGTGGATGTACATCTGTGTGGTTGTTTAAGTAGAGAAAGAGACATAAACCACATTTTTCAGTTTTAAATATTTCAACTTTCTACTCAGCTGCAAACAGTATTTTAGATTAGAGGGTGTAAACCAAAATAAACATTATCAGCTTTTTAAACAGTGCTTTCAATCTGGTATTGGGAGGTTGTGCTCTTTGTGGCAGCTTTTGATGCCTCCTTTTGTCTTTGCAATAAAAATATAGCACAGTTTAAAAAAAAATAATGAAACATGTTAGAGGGGATATGGAACTTGAGTCCTTTTATTTTCAATAGGAAAAAAGCTGTCATCCTATGTCTGATCAAGATGAGTCCAGCATCTATGAAGGTCTAATTGATGTCTTTCCACAAGATTATACTTCAGACACTTTCTCTGAAACTGATTCAGGAAAATTGCAGGTGTTGGTGAAGTTGTTAGCAGCAATCCATGAGCTCAACTCTTCTGAAAGGCAAGTGTGAAAGAAAGGTAAAAGGGAGATAATGGGAGTGACCTTTGGGATATTGTTTTACTTTTCAAATACATGGGGACATAATATTCAAAATAAAGGCATTGCAGCTGTTTGCAGAGGTGCCAAATATGTTTATGCATTGTACTTCTGGCTCTTCCTTGTTAAATTACTAAACTAGGATTTGCAACTGATGTAATTTATTTTTAAAAGATGCTCTTCATATTTTTTCCAGATAAAGATACTTGTATTTTCCATACCGAGTTTCAGCAAGTAAGATGGTTTGCTACAGCCCCTGTAGTATGACATATTATCTTTACTTGCAAAGACTTTCCAATGCTTTGGATCTCCTTGAGGAAATGTATTTTTAAAATATTTTAAATTGCACTAAAATAAGTTATTTCCTATTTAATCATGTTTAAATGCCCAGTGCTTGCTGGCTTTTCTGTTCAGGGTAACCAGTCTCAACAGACGAACTTGCACAGCAGCTGCTTATTTCCCCTGCCGTAAATGCCACTGACATGTAGGAAAATCTCTGTTTATCATGGGATAATAGGATGCACATGGTTAGTTACTGTGCAATTGCTGACTCATGGAAATCCCACATGACCATGTGTCCCATGAGAGCTTTTTTACGGACTCATGCCTTAAAGCCCAGCTATTCCAAAAGTATTTAGCTTTTAACTGTTATTTAAATTGATGCTTAAATGCTGTAATTCACTAGTGAGAAGTAACAGCAGACCTCTTGGCACTGAGGTAATGGAATTTGAATATGCTCTCTTTTTACAAATCAGAAAGCTGAGCCTATTGTTGGAGTTTATATGCCTAACACCCATTGAAACCAATGACAGATAAATATCTAAATGTACTGGCCTTATTTCTTGTAGGTCAAAAGAAACGGGTATCAGGAAAAAGCACCTCTCCCTGTTTCAGTGCTATAGGAGCTGCTGAGTTACAGCTGGTGTTGAGGCATTATTTTACACCTTTAGAAGTTTTAGTTCAGTGCTGCTCATGTTTCTTTTTCTTTTGTTTCTCTCATTAGTATTAAATAGTTTTTGCAGTATACAGATGCAATTCCAGTCCTCTTCTGAAATTTATATTCTATTTTTGAGGGTGTGAATTTGGTGTTGATTGACAGAAATATCAATCTTGCAAAGTCTTTACAAAGAAGTCTTGGATGTAGTTCAATTGCAAAATGTAATAATAAAAATACTTTAAAACAATTTGAAAATGTTGATTTATCAGGTTTTCCCTGAAATTATTTGTCTAGTTCTTCAGTACCAGTTTTTAATCAAAATTATTTTTAAAAGTGGAGCACCTTTGATGGAATTTGTTACATTTATTTTAGATTATAAAAGACCTCCAAATAAGATCTGGCAGAAAATGCTTTAACTGTCCTTACTATTTATAGATTACATTTAAAAGATCTGTGGCTGCCCCCTCCCTGGAAGGGTTCAAGGCCAGGCTGGACAGGGCTTTGAGCAACCTGGGCTGGTGGAAGGTGTCCCAGCCCCTGGCAGCGGGGTTGGGACTAGATGATCTTTAAGGTCCCTTCCAACCCAAACCATTCTATCATTCTGTGATCTTTCTTTGTCCGCTCAGTACACTCACCCTCAACATCTGAGAGGACACAAATTCTAGATTTGCAGATCTTTGAAACTTACTCAGTCAAAATTTCAGAGAAAAAACACCAACATGGTATGAGTTGTTAGTGTAAGGGATCAGACTGATTTTGGTTTAAGAAAAATAACAAAAATCCAGACTATATTGCTTGTGATATCTTTCACTATCCTACCTCCCAGTTCTCTGTCATAACATGTAGGAAAGAGTCACTGCTTTCCTATTTGATTTTAATGATTTTGTTTATTAGAATTTTCCAATATTGTCTGTAGAAGTTCACAGTAGCTTCTTCAGTAAATAGTCATATATATCTTATTTATTAGCTACTAAAACACCATCTGCAAATGCTGCCTTAACAACAGTTATCCTGTATAAATAGAGATTTTTTTTTTTTAAATCTGTCTTTGTGGTTGGTTCTGGATCCCTAGAATCTGTGCATTTAGCCAGATTCTGCTGTGAAGGAAAACATTCCTTATTTAACATTTGAATTTTAATGCTTGACAGTAGGTATAATGCATCCAAATCTAGTATGTTCTTCAAATTAATAGGAAATGTTTTATTTCTTAGGAAGTATGAATAACTCCAGGTTGATGTGTAATTTTTGCTTGACTTGCAATTATATTTTCTTAGATGTCTTTAGTAATTTGTTACTGAACTTTAACTTTACCAAGGTCTAAGATGATAACTTTGTTTTACTGTTTGACAGAGTTGTACTGGTATCCAATTACACTCAGACATTAAACATATTACAAGAGACATGCAAACGTTATGGATACTCTTATACTAGACTTGATGGACATACTCCTGTCTCCCAGAGACAACAGATTGTTGATACTTTTAATAGTAAATTCAGTCCAGCTTTTATCTTTTTGCTGAGTTCAAAGGCTGGCGGAGTAGGACTGAATCTGGTTGGAGCATCTCATTTGATCCTGTATGATATCGACTGGAATCCAGCTACGGATATTCAGGTCTGATAACAACTGTGTACGTGTGGGTTGGGATGGGCATCAAATGATTTCTTGATTGATTTGGAAGTGCCAGGCTTTACATGCCTTATTGCTACATAAGTGTCATGTTGCATCTGGACAAGTACAATACTGAAGGAAAACTCCTTCTGAGAAGAGTATTTCTCTGTCACATTATATATATTGGGATCATTAGAAGCCCTGTTGCAGTAAAAAATGAAAAGATTAAATTTTGGGTTCTTTGGAGAAGTGAGTCATGTATCCCTTTTGTCTTCTGACCCTTTTTTAACTGGGAAGTTGCTGTGTTTCTGAAAAGCAAAGCATGATTAGTCTGCATAGCAAATGTTGCTGTCAATTTGCAACACTTGAGAAAAAGGGAGAGGTTCCGATCAGAATTCGGAGAATGAGAAGATCACATGTCAGTAATGCCAAAAGTAGGGAAACAAAGCCAGTGCTGTGCTATTCTTGTAATGGCACTGTTGACCAGAAGGGATTATTTAGTTGGCATAAGAGTCTTCAGTTAAAATAGTCCCTAACAATAACAGTTTTTAAAAATCCTTCTGTAAACATGGTAAGAAACTTTTTAGTGTAATGCTGTGTGCTTAGTACCTGAAAAATGCTCTGATTCTTGGCCCCGTTCCTGTTCCAAGTGTGAATTAGTACCCTCATGTGGTCACTTGTCTCGTTGCTTGAAGCTAAGGCAGTCAAAATTGCTACAGGTTGCCAAAGACCACAAACCATGTGGTGGGTACTTGTACCCAGTATGTAGGTATAACTCTTACCTTTTTGAAAAAAATCATATAGCAGTACTCAGGTACATTTTATTTGTTTAAGAATTAAAGGGGGTGTGAAACGCCGATTTTACAATTTTAAAAGAAATGGAAAAGTAATTATTAAGGTGTATTGTGGCAAAAAACACTTTTGGAGATGGGGAAGAATGATGAGTATTACTGAAATATTAAACAGTTGCTAATGCTTGGAAAACAAATATGAAGAGGTGATTTCTGACAGGAAAGAGTTGAAGCACCTACTTTCCTACTATCGTACACAGAAAGGGGAGCATAGATGTCAGAAAGTAAATTATATTTTCAAAATTATTTGCAGTTAATACCAGAAGATTTATAAAACCAGTCAAAGACAGTTATTAAGGAGTGGTTTCTTTGGATACCATCTTTCTGAATGAGCTAGCAGAACTGGTAATTTGATCATCAGAGGCTACAAGTTTTAATTGAAATACCATTGCATAGTAGATTGTTAATGTTCTTCATCTTTTTGCTTTCTTCAGGCAATGGCTAGAGTGTGGAGAGATGGTCAGAAACATACTGTATATATCTACAGACTGCTAACCACAGGTCAGAGATGGTGCTCAAACATGCTACAGAGTGAGACAGCTATTGAAATTTTGTCTGTAAAAGAAAGGAAGGGAGTGTTTTTGGAAATAATTAATTCTTTAAAAACATGTATTATGTGTTCTGAATTCAGTTAAAATAGAGACATCCCATTTATTCATTTGACTTTGCTTTGCCTGAATAACTGAAAATAGTTGTTCAGCATTTCCTATGAATATTGTTATCAAGGAATAGATTTGACTTATTCTTGAGAAGTATTGGTCAAAAATTATCCCAGTGTATCTATTTTTTTTTTGTCCCCAATACAGGCTCAATAGAAGAAAAGATTTATCAAAGACAGATCAGCAAACAAGACCTTTCTGGGGCAGTTGTAGACCTTTCCAAGACATCTGAACACATCCATTTTTCCATTGAGGAGCTTAGAAATCTTTTTACTCTTCATGAAGATTCCAGCTGTGTTACCCATGACTTGCTTGAGTGTGACTGTATGGGAAAGAAAGACCATCAAAGTGAGTTTCTTCTTCATTATGTCTGGCCATTGCTGAGGAAGTACATCCATTTTGAATAAACAGTCTGTCACTGGAGAAAACTGTTGCTAAGTAAAATAGGATTGAAGTAATGAGGTTCGTTATGCGATCTTCCAGGTACTGGCTGATTTTTTCTAATCCACAGAAGCCCTTCACAAGTTGAAGAGGAGAAAAGATTCATTCCTTGAAGTACAACCAATTAATGTATCACGCCTCTTAGTTCCTTGAACGAGCTATGGCCAGCTCAGCTAGTGATTAGTTACAACCAAATGACACTATATGGTGTTTAGTTTCTAAATATTCAAGGACAGTAATGAGTAGCTGGTAAGACTAGATTAAAAGCTATTTATTGAGGACAACTATACCAGATGAAGATCTACACCAGATCTCTGAATTTAAGCCTTCATTTCACAGTTATTAACTCAGGCTGATGCAGGGTGATTAAAATAGCTATTTGAGAAATGCTGGAAGATCCCATGGCAGTTGCAAAGCCAAGTTGCAAATATTTGCATCTATCCTTTCTGTAGGAACCTGTCTCTTGTTCTTTTGGCATATCAAAACACTTTTAATACCTTGCTGCATACAGGTATATAGGTTTAAGTTAGAAGCAAGATTAAAAGAAAAAAGTAATCATAAGCTATGTTTACATCTTACCCATTTTAATTTTTATAGCTCATCTAGTTTCTTAAAGGAAAGAGTGTCTATTGCCCTGATATTTTTCTTTCCTTTGGGCATGAAATATCAACTTACACCATTTACAGGTGTGATAGTGAGGTATCAACACTGATATCTTCTAGCACACAGCTATCACAATAAAAAGAACCAAAGAAATGGGTACAACCAGTGTGTATTCTCAACAGACACGGCCAAGAAATTAAGTAATACAGACACAACGAGACTCTTTTGCTTGATGGTTTGCATGTCTCCTGGTAATAGGCTAGAGCTGTGTTCCTTTCTCATCTCATTCCACCCAAAATTGGGAGGACTTGGCTAGCAAAAGCACAGTGCATCTGGAGCCAAAAGAATTTGACTTTCTCCTTTATTTTTGCTCCACATACTGATTTAATTGTCTTTGTATCTTTCTTTAATGATTGAAAAATGAGACCTTCTGTTTTCACATGAGTAAGTGATGTTCTAAAATACACCAGCCTCCACTTAGGTAGTGTTACAGGATCTGTGTGGAAAAGGCACCTTGAGTGTCAAATGTTAGCCAGATTTTCTCACAGATGTGCAGTGTGGCAGGTAGAACTCCTGCACTGCAGAAATCCAGAGAAATTTTGTATTGTTACTGTAATGAACATTGGTGTATATAATTTTATTTAGTGTTTTGCAATTGTCTTAGCACTCTTGACTGCTTTTCTTATGCTTTGAACACATACTGGTTCCATCAATTCAACCACAGCATTGGTCTCTTGGATCCTGTAACCAGGGCTTCCTCAAGGGTAATTATATCTTGGTCTCAGTGAACAGAACCTATTGGTAGTAAACCAAGGAAGAACCTGAAGGTCATTCTTAGATTTAAGTTTTGGAAATGATAGAGTGAGGGGAAGGTTTGATTTCCTGAAGAGCAGAGGACAAACCGGCTCATCGATTTGCTAGTCAAATTGTTGTGAGTCATGGTGTTCAGTTTGTTCACCCCAGAATGCAGCTACCACTAGCTGGTCTTTGGTCTTTTTGCCTTTCCTAAGCAGAAAAAGCTGTCAAATTACTTCATCAGGAAACCAAATTTCAGGTTACTGAGTATAGATACTGGTGCACAGAAAAGGCCAAGAACTTTCACTGATTTGTCCCCTCCGTTTCTAGCAAGTGTGATTCAAAAGATAAACTAAAGAGGAGCCAAACAATATAATAGAGGCTTCACCATATATGAACTTTTCATAAAGATCTCCATTAGATATACCAATGAAACTGGATATTCTTGACCAAGCTCTTGTTGTCCATTCACACTAGGGCTATCTTTAGGAAGCCACAGGGGTCTTGAAAGGAAGAAATTAACTGTACATGGATCATGCAGATGGCTTGGCTTGCTACAGTACTGGCTTTCAGATCAGCTACAAAGCTTTAAGCCTCTTGTTTTACCTGATCATGGTGTAATTTATGGAGTTAGGAACACAGAATCTGTAAGGACTTGAGAAGTGCATCTTTCTTCTGGCCAGTAAAAGAATGTGTTTCAAGTCTAGTGCAAATGTGCATCATATGTAAGCCAAAAGGAAAGTCTTGCATATATGGCTCTTTATGGGCTCTCCAAAACTTTTAAAACCTTAAGAATACTCTGAGTTGTCATGCTGCCCATATCACTGGTCTTTCCCAAGGAACATGTAACACTGCTGTGAAAATATTTGGTGACAGGTTTTAAACCAGTAACAGCAGTGATGCAGCTTTTTTTCCACCCAAAATGATTTCTTCATTTATCACATGCATCAGATGAATCATGAAGCCAGCAATATGTCGCATAGCCTGCAATGACCTGGTACTTTTGTGGGCTTTAGGATCCTTTGTCGAAAGTGAATTCCTCTCTTTTTGCTTCACAGCAATAGTCTGTTCCTTACTGTGAGATACAGTATACAATATTGTGTATACTGAACAACTTGGCATAATCTGAATGTACAGAGTGCACAGCTCTAAGTGTGCTGAGTCAATGAAATTGCTATTCAAACTATTTTTAGCTGGTTGGAATGACTCCTCTGGGAGGAAATAGAAGCTAGTATGAATTTTGCTGCAACATACTTCTAGATTCAGATTTACTTAAAGAATGGGAGCAGCCCAAATGTCACAGAATTAAGAAGACAGAAGAAAGGAACTTGCCAGATAAGATATTTCCTTTCCCATCTATGTGTAAAAGGATTTATCTTTATGCTAATATATGGTGATTTTGATAAACTCAATGAGCAAGAAACAGCCTTTCCCCTCTTACAGTGGATACATATGTTTGGGTTTCATTGACATAGAAGGACTATATAGGCTGTTCTATTATTTCTCCTTTGTCATCACCAACTGGCTTATTGATTCAGACTGAAATTTTCTGTCTCAACTTTCTCTGATCAGTCTACTGCATTATTTTTTTTCAGATCCTTCCTCAGAAAAGCCTTCTGTATCTAGAAGTTGCCAGCTTGGACAAAACTATGGGAAACCTAATTCAAAGAAACCACTCTCTATGTCACAGTTGATGCAATGGAAACATTTATCTGGGCAACATGAGACTCTTGCTGATCCTTTCCTTGAAAGGATAAGAGAGAATGTTTCTTTCATTTTCCAGAATGTAACCAATCCAACTTCCCCCACATAATAAAACTTAAGTGTCTTTCCCTACCACTTGCATCCTTCTCCTCAGAGGTATAGTAAACAACTGATGTGCAGTTACCTTTTGTTCTTTTTACCAAGTTCTGTTTTGTGTATTTCTGATGAAGTTTCTGGGTAAATGTCATTCCTGGTGTTTATACAATGTTACAGTTATTACTAAGTTAATCATACTTGCTATAATTATAACACAGATTTTTAAAACTAACTTTGCTTTCCAGTCTTCTGTTCATTTGATAGCATAATTAGCGTAATTAGTAAAATTCTTTTTATGCACATTCCTGGGTATGTCTACTTTGTTTTATAGTTTTCATTTGATCATAATGATTTATTGCTTGTAAAGCTGGCAACTCTCCAGCCAAATTTTATAAGATTAGGCAATGCTGTATACATATATATATGCTGTTAACAGGACTCTGGTTAGATTTTTGTTTTGACAATGAAAAGTTACGTATCTGTGTAACTGCAGCTTTATAACAAGGTAGGTGTTTGTTCTCTTGAATTTGCAATTTAATGACTCTCAGAGCAGTAGCTGCTGACGTTCAAAATTCTGAGACCACAGCTTGATACTGTCAAAGTATTCCGAAATTCTCCTATTGCTTTTACTTGGGAAAAAAAAACCTGCTTTATTTCTCAGATGTACAGAGTACAGGCTTATCTACATTTAGCTAACTCCTTTTAAGGACACTTTTTGCTGAACACGGGAGTACTGAGCGTATTTTCATGATATATTTTTTTATTTACTATATTTTCCTTCTTCTTTGAAGGTGCAAGTTTGAAATCGGTTTACAGATTTTAAGTGAAGTACTTTGAAAGGCCCAGAAGAACAGAAGATTGGTTCATTTTTAGAAATACTCTAAACTTACATAATTTTAAAGACCTTCAGCAAGAATAGGGCTTCATTGTGGTAATCCTGCCTTGTACCACATGATGTACAACCTCTTGATATTTGATACATGTGATAGCAGTGGCTAAAAGCCCAACCAGCTTTCAGAAAACAGTTAAAATTGTTTTGTTCTCTGTGTTATAACAGTGCTCTCTCTTTCTCTAGACTGTCACTGAGTTCACAGTCCCTCCTAACCCATCCTCAGACATTTTTCTTGCATTTTGGTGCAGTTTGGGAACTGAAAGCCATGTGAACTGACCTCTCTTCACCATCCACATTTATTTCAGAGGGCTTTTAGAGTTTCCTTTGACTCTAAATGCTGAATGACACCAGAATATAATGAAGACCAAAGTGAGAGAATGATGGAGAAAATCATCAATTACAAACATCTTTTTGGCATGCAAACTGTGATCTCAGTAACAATTAGAATTATGCTAATAGGTAGAGTTTAATTCTTTAGGCTGGCTGTTAAAGAGCCTGCTCTTCACCCTGTATGTGGTGGAGCGTGGTGATCACGCTTATCCAGGTGCTGTGCTGCTGTGGTGCCTGTTTGCTGTTAGACAAAGGCTGTCTGATATCTTACAGCTCCCACAGCTTATTTTAATTAGCAAGAGCAAGGTTTGCCTGCAGCTTTGTAACTCAATAAAGAGAATCCAGCCAATCTGTAATAACAATTACTGTAATTAATACTTGTCTGAGACTGATTATACTTAGATCCGTGCTGCCCATGAGTTTCTGTCAGTGTTGTCCCTGTCTGTAGGCTGGCATTCTCTGCTCTCTCCTGATGATCTCGTGTGATTTCTTGCATCTGCATGAACAAGTAGATGCCAGTTTGGTTCTATTGCTGGTTTGTTTGTGGGACCCTGGTTATCCCCACTGGATGCACACTGGCCCACTCTGGTTCGGGGCAAACCAACTGGCAGTGCCATTGAGGAAACCTGGGCGTAGAAGAGAATTAAGTTTGTCACAGGGTCCACGCCGTGCCGTGTTTCACCTTCTCTGCCTAATGCAGTCCCTCAGGGCTATCTCAGCAGGCGTTCTCACCTCACCTGTGGAGTCCTGCCCGTGGACAATCCTACTTGCTGTCACGTCATGCACCGCTCTGCACAGTACAGCTGTAGCTGCACGCTGGTAGAACACAGGTCTGGCAGACAAGCCCTTTTATTGTTTGGCCTCCAGGGTAGTTTTATTTTGGCATTTTAAAATAAATAAAATAAAAGCTGGTGCTGGACTACCATGGAGCTCTTGGGAGGCCAGAGGAGATGAACTCCCAGACACATACTGAGCCTTGATCACCTTCACACATACAGCAGATCTTTGTTCTGGGAGGGATTTCTGGCAGATGGGCTATCATACTAGGTAATGTTGCTTCAAGGTTAAGAAGCCCAAAGCAGCCTATACAAACTCACGCAAGGCCAGTTACAGCTTCCCAATGATTCTGGGTCTGTGCCCTGCCACGCCAAGCTGCCCCAGCTCCCTGGCAATGGCAGCAGCATGGTGATGCTCAGTGGAAGGCTCCTCTAGCATCCACCCAGCCAGCCAAATGTGCACCCCTCATTAACCCTTCATGGCTTCTGGGCTTAATAGTATGCCTGTGCTGCTTGGTTGGTTGGGTAGGACAATACTACCCAAATGACAGGTTGCACATGGTGTTACACATGATGCATAATGAAAATCTCATTCTGAAATTTGATGTATCCTGGAAAATTACATTTCTCAGTGGAAGAATAGGTTGCTGAAAATATAAGAAGCATGAATGTAGAGTCTAATTTATTATGCCATCTGTGATTCTCCCACAGTAGTCTACAACAGCCTGAGACTAACCCATCGTGCTCAGAATCATAGTATAATTATCAGTGTTTTCATACAGAGTGCAGCATGTGGTCATGTGAATTTCTTCACCCATAGGTGAGAAAGGTCTACTAGGAAAAGTCCCTGTGGCAAATTTACCCTAATCCGACTGTTGACTGATAAGGTATATTGAGGATTTCAAGTCTCCACAAGGTCACATTGGCCCTTCTCTTAACAATTGTGAAACCCAAGAGGATGGGGAAGGTGACTGGTGCTGAAAGACAAGTGTCAGATCATAGCAGATGGTCTCAGATGTGGCTTCGGATTCACTGCCAGTGATGCCAGCTGTAAAGGAGTATGTAGTTTATGTTGCACAGTCCCACCAATCAGTCCTAGTCTCCTAGACCCAATACTTGCTATGCAGAGAGGGGGAAGCAGGGTTTGTTGAAGCCATGGTTGTGTTCTAATGCAATGCTTGAAATATAAGGTGTTGATTAATGTACTTGGTTGCCATTTCCAATTTTTGAAGGACACGTGGCAATCCTCCCAGAACTGAAGTACAATAGCAGGGGCTTCCCACAGAGTCCCAGCCTTCTTTAGGTGCATCCACCTTCTCCAGTGTGGGGTCCTCCACGGGCTGCAGGTCGGCATCTGCTCCACTGGTGACCTCCATGAGGCTGCAGGGGAGTCTCTGCTCCAGCGCACCTCCCTCCCCCTCCTTGCTCCACCTTTCTTCCACTGACTTTAATCTTTGCATAGATGTCTTCCTTGCAACTCCTCCTCACAACTCCAACTCCTCCTCCCAGGTTCCCCTTCTTAAACAAGTTCTCACAGAGGCGCAGCCACCATCGCTAATTGGCTCGGCCTTGGTCAGAGGTGGGTCTGACTTGGAGCTGGGGGAGCTTCGAGAAGCTTCTCACAGGGGGCCACTGCTGTAGCCCCCAAAACCCCTGCCACACACACAAACCCAACACAGATGCAAGTGTTCTTCCAGCAAGTTGTAGTTCTTACGGATACATGCCAAAGAATAAGGCAAGTCTGCCTAACAATAGGTCTCAAATGATGGCTTCTTCAGTGCAGCATGAAGGTGTAAGCACAATGGTGAGCAGCGTATTTTTTCAACGAATGTTAAGCAAAGATTGGCAGGCAGTATTTGACGTTTATTAGTGCTACTGAATCAGTGTAGAGGTATGCCCGAGGCAGCAAGCAGCAAGTGCCTTTCTAGGTGTGAGATGTTGAGGGTTATCAAGTCAGGGTGTGTTCCATCTGATCTGAGATGTGTTGTAGGGCACTCCCTTGAATGACACCAATTTGAACTGATTTGCACCAGTGGGCCCAGAGAGGAGCTCTCACCCTGTCAGAAGAAGAAATCACAAAGATGTGCTCTTAGGAAATGGTCTGCTAATCTTAAAATGGCTACTACAGGTCTCTGAATCACATTGGGCAAGGGAGGGTTGTCAGCCAGCCCTCGGATTCATCAATCAATACTGTGTTCCTTGCCAGCTCTTAGCTGGGAGGAGGGGATTTTGGAGAAATTCTGTTACTTCTGGTATAAGGCACACGGCCAAAGAGACAAGCGTACTGCATGTTCTCAACTGAGACCAGCCCTGATTTTAAAAAGCAGAAGGGGTGGTGGTTTATTTATTTTTGTGTATTGCAGCAAGGGTTTTTTTTTAACTGGTTTCATATGACTGTTGATTCAGCTTTTATTTATCCTGGCTCAGGTTTTTTTGTGATTGAGATGGTGACCCTATATCATTATTCACTTGCAGAACAGCAATCTGAATTATAACTCTATTCACTGATTGTCAGACAAGGAACCACATAACAAGCTTTGGGTGTCATACAAGTTTGTGTGGCAACTGCAGTAGATGCATCTTGCATTCTGACAAGAGGTTGACATCAAGTCCAGTTAAGGGTCTGCTTTTTTCAGAGATCATTAAGTTCTTTGACTCATCATCTGGTGCAAAAAAGGTGCCAAATGGTGACTGAATGTTTCTGTAATGGAATAAACTCACAGGAATTTCTTAAAATGCTGAATATGGAACAATCTTTGACAACTACTTGGGATTACCACCAGGATTTGTTTAAGAGAGACTCCAGCCTTTGTAGGCAAGTAACACACAGAAGGAAAGTAGTTCTTTCATGTGCTTGCCATTGAATGAAAAGTTGATGTAAATCATGGTTGTTTATGTGTGGCTTAACTAAATTATGTGTTTGTGGCTAGAAGATCTGGGAAGGTTATAAAGAACAATGAATAAAACCACTTCTGGCTTTATAGAGTAACTGAAGAATAAGCTGAATTGAAATCTGCTTTTAACAAAGCTTTGTGTGC